GTTGTTAATATATTCTGACTACTACTAATCAAAGTTTATCTATTTGGCACTCTGCCATTTTTTACTTAACATTATATCAATCAATCAATCCTTATTTATTTGACCACTTAAAAGGCTAAACTGTAGTCCACCATGTTGCCAGAACTGCTTGACCATTTTCCTACTGTACTACTGTAAAACATCTGGGCTATTTCTTTTCTATTTTCATTATTATAAATAGTGCTATGAAAATCTTTGTTCAATTTTACTTTTTCCTCCTGTTTTTTTTTCCCCTTGGAGTATGTACCAAAAACAGAAATACTGGGTTGAATGGTACTAAGTGAAGAGTTTCTACTAAATACTACGAGATTACGATGTAGGCAATAGTATACATAACTTGCATTTTAACTGATGACAGTGAAACCTACAATGTATAATTTTGTCCTATCTCATCAATAATGAAAACTTGTCAAGTTTAATATTATAAATAGTGTGGAAAAGAAAGGGACAACCCCACATTTAAAAAAGGATAGTTAGTGGCATAAAAAAATGTAACTTTTATTTTTTAGGCTTAAATTATTAACGACTAAAACAAGTTTCCTGATTTCTGTTTAAACATGATGAACTGGTAACATTAATCTACTTTCTCTTCCTCCTGAAATCCCACTAAAATGAAAGTAAAAAAATAAGAAAGGAGAAAACAATAAGGATAAAGAGAATTGGAGAGAAGACAGTGTATGAACATTTCAACTAATTTTTAGAAGGTGTTAAGATGATGGAGGAGTGATTAACTGACATAGTTGAAAGGCCTCCTCTGAGGGCCTGCAGAGGAGGATTCCTACAAGAAGCAAGCAGATCTGCACTGTAGGAGTCAGAAACGCAGGATCATATACAAGGTAAGATAGAAGAATTCTAACAACTGGCAAGAAGTCTGTATATTGATCTCTTAGACCCCTTAGGTGTCCTCCCCATTCCTGAGATTAACTCTCACTCTGGAAGGAGATCCCAGGACTGCAGAAACAACAGGCTGATGGAGGGGTAGCTAGAAAAGGGTGATAGCCTCTATAATTCTAAGGGAAATTTTTTCCAATCTAGAATTTTATACCCAGCCAAACTATACTCAAGTATGGGGCAAAATAGAGAAATTTTTCAGATAACCAAGGTCTCATAAAATTTATTTTCCATCCATGCTTTCTTAGAAAGCTCATGGAAAATGATGCACATAAGCAAATAAAGGAAATGAAGGGAAGAAAAAAAAAGGAAGAAATATTTGGCATTCAGGAAATAGGGTATTCAACACAGCTGAAGAGAGTCCCCACAATAATAGTGAAAAGCCAACAGTTATACAGCAGACCCAGAGGGTAACCAGTACTGACCCAGGAAGGATGATAGAGGGCTCCACTAAAGATGTCTTCAGGGGAATAAATATACAGCTGATGTGTTTGAATATCTGGACAATTTCACTAAGTGGTTTTATGATAGAAATTTTGAAGTATTTGGAAAAAAACTGATAAACAGGAGTAACTACACCCTAACTGTGTAAATACACAGTAAAACCCCTCCATGCCCCCCTAATCCCAGCTTCCACAGCTCCATCAGCAGGCATAAAAAGGGAGTCTCAGAATTCTATATACTCTGGGTAAAATGGGTCCAATACCAACCTCCACACTTCCATCAGCAGAAATGAAGGATAAGCCCCAGAACTCCAGGTAAAATTCTCTCCTGCCCTTTGTTACATCCATATTTCCCAAATAGCTAAAATGATGAGTGGAATCCCAAATTTGGCATGCACCTGGCAAGACCCTATAAAACTTCAATCTCCGCAACAACCATAGTCACATCATTACCATCTGCCTTGAGACCATGCAGAACAATCTTTTTATGACCTTTTTTTATTAGACACCACAAGAAAACAAGGACTCCCATCCCCAGGACTTCCCTAATTGCCCAGTCTTTCATTCCTACAGAAACTTGTCCTCTTTTCTGACCATATCTCCCATTTCTCCCCTACCCAAACCCCTACACTACCTTAGCCACTCATTCCCATGGTCATACTCTAAAACTTGACATCACCAAATGTCAAGACAAAACCTCCAGAATTTTAATATCAAGCATCCAAATCTTCAACCACTTCCTACCTTTCCCCCTCATTATTTGTAATATCATGACTCTAAACTTCTAGCCCTGATTAAATCTGATGCTGTCTGCTCTGCCCCTGTACCCACAAAGCTGAACACAGCTGGAAAAATACAAAGCCAGAGGAAAACACAGCCATGCTGACTAGTCTCACTTTAAATTCATGAATGTCAAGTATACTGCCTGGAAATTACACATTTCCTTAGTCCATTTATTTTCCTAATCTTCTAGATGACTATTTCACTCTTTCTCCTCTCTCTTCAAATCCCTTATCCTCACTACCACCACCACCAGTTGCTGTCAAGTGATTCTGACTCATGGTGACCCCATGTGTCAGAGTACAACTGTGTTCTGCATGGTTTTCAATTTTTCTGAAGTAGATCATCAGGCCTTTCTTCTGAGGCACCTTTGGGAAGACTCAAGCATGTTAATCGTTTGCACCACCCAGGGACTCCTTATGCTCACTAGAAACTTATAATCTTGCTTCTATTTCACTGGAAGTAATAAAAGCAATCAGGAGATAACTTCCACATGCTCCCACACCATCACTACGTATCTATCTACATCTGTGTCCACATACTCTCTCTTCTCTCCTATTTCTATGGATGAACTGTCTATGCTCCAAATGAAATATTCCCCCATCTTCAACATGTGCACTAGATCTCCTCTCCTCCCATCTACTCAAGAAAATTGTTCTAGCAATTCTCTCTTCTGTTTCTTATGTCATCAATCTCCCCCTCTTGACTTGATAGTTCTCATTAGCATACTAACATAATTTAATTTCTCCCACCTTAAAAAACTTCCTTCACCTCACTTTTCTCTCTAGTCCAACCTCCTTCACTGTAAAACTCTGAAGAGTTGTCTATACTTCGTATCTCTGAACTCACTCCATTTAGGTTTTTACCCCCACCATCATGATGAATCTGCTCTTCTTAAGATTAATGTTACTAATTGCATTTAAATCAACTAAAGTTGATTACAGTACTTTTTTCTGCTTAAAACACTTTGTTTCCTTCTATTTATCTGCCTGTTCCTACTCTGTCTCCTTTGTGGCTCCTCTTCTTCTCCTCAACCTCCAAACATTACAGAGTTCCAGGGCTTGGTCCTTAGATCTCTTCTCTCCTGTATCTACACTCCCTGGGTGATCATAACTAGTCTCCTAGTTTAAAATACCATCTATACAGTGATAACTCCAAAAATTATAACCCCAGTCTGGACTATTTCCTTAAATTCAAAATGTACATATCCAATCACCTACTCAACATCTCTACTTGGATGTCTAACAGGCATCTCAAACCTAGCATATCCAAAATCAAACTCCTGATTTCTATGAACCCCATTACCTCCCACCAAAATAAAACAAAACAAAAACTAGTAACAACAAAACCCTGACCTTCCCTGCACTCAACCCATCCTTCCAGCTACTCACACTAAAAGCCCTGGCAGTTTCCTTGTTATCTCTTTCTCTCACATTTCACATCCAACCCATAGGGAAATCCAGTTGGCTCTACCTTCACAATCGACCAGTTCTCACCACCTCTACTACTGCTCTAGTCCAAGCCAATACTATTTCTCACCAAAGAAAATTATTGCTATAGCGTCTTAACGTCTCTTCCTGCTTCTACTCTTGCCTCAGGCCCATAATCTATTCGTAACATAGCAGCTAGAATTCTTTTAAAATTTAACTACTAAATGCAGATTTTAATTTTTTTATATTTTAAATGTCACGTCTCTGTGTAAAAGGCAAGTCTTTTAAACGGCCTATAAGGCCATTTAAAATCTGCCTTCAGCCCCAGCCATACCTCTCTCCTTGCTTTCCAGGAACACAGCAGGCATTTTCCCCCTCAAGGTTTCCATCTGCTGTTCTTTCCCTGGGACACTCTTTTCTCAGATATGTGAATGGCTGGTTCAACTCCTTCAAATCTCTGCTCAAAAATCTCCTATCTCTTGACTATCCTATTAAAATTCCAATCCTACAGTCTCCTATCTCTTAACTATCCTATTAAAATTCCAATCCTACCCACCCCTCAACTTTTTCCTCCATCATACTTAACACCATCTAACACACTACATATTTTGTTTGTTTCCCCCATCTACAATGTAAGTCCCTTAGTCAGGTATTGTTGTCGGGTTTGTTCACTGCTGTATTCCCACCCAGCACATGGAACGGTGCCTGTCACATAGCAGGAACAAATATTGGTTGAAAGATAAACAGTGTCATTACTAGTAGCTAATCATCTCATTTACAGTTATCAAAATTCAAGAGCTGGAGCCACTAAATGTTTAGTTTCTCAGAAAATAAAATATACCAGAAGTTCCAGATTTTGTAGTTGCCAATAGTCCAGTCTAATCCATTTTACCAGCTCCGAAAAGAACACTTAAGAAGATTTGTCATTTTTAGTGATGTACTTTTACTTTTCACTTTTAGTATAAAACCACCTTGTTCTGGAGAGCATGTTTTCGAGATGCCTTTTCATCCGTTAGCTCCTTTCGCAACCAATTCTGAGGTTGAGAAAGTCAAGTAGAAAAAAGAAGGGAAGAATCAGATTCAGAAATAAACGAGCCGAGCCAAGCTCACACCCTAACTAGCAGAGCAGGGCTCTTTCCATCCCTCCATTTTGCCTCTGAGGCCCTGCAAGGAACAAGACCCGGCTCGGATCTCCAGAGCTTTGGATTCCAGTAGTAACAGATCCATGGACAGATGGAAAGACAGATGACAAAAAATGATGGTAGCCTACAGCAAGGATTAAATGTGAGCCCCCACTGTTAAGTCCTCGGAAAGGGAGGAAGGAGGGGCACCCTGGCTCTTCCTCCCAGATACACTAGCAAAGGGTTTAGCAGAGTTGCTGCCAGAAACCCGCCCAAAGTTCTTCAAACCCGCCAGGTAACAGGAGTGTTGGGGCGCCGGGTGCTGTGAAGCCGGACTCAGGGCCAGCCCTCAGCTAAGCCCAGGACAAGCACGAAGACTCCGCGGGTCGCGCAGGCTTTCCTTCGGCTCTTGAGCGCCTGTACTGTCGGGGCAGAACCTAGCGGCCGCCTCACTCAGGAGCTGAGGCGAATCGCTGCGCCTTCAGCACCGCCCTCCTCCGCGCTCGTCCCGCGCGCGCAAAACCAGGCGTCACGTGACTCCGCTGCAATCCCCGAGCGGGAGCCCTCCCCTCCTGCCCGCCCCTAGTAGCCGCTGCGGGAAGGCGTCGTGGATGCCGGCAAAAAAAGAGGCTGGGGCGGCGGCCGGACCCGTGAGGGTCTAGGCGGGGGTTACCGGGTAGAGGTAGAGTACCGCTCCCACCAACGCCAACAAGAAGGTAACGGCGAAGATCGCGAAGTCCAGCATGGCTCTTCTGCT